TCAAAAAAAAAAAAAAAATTATCTAAGTGTGGTTGTGTGCCTGTCATCCCAGCTGCTCAGGAAGCCAAGGTGGAATGATCCCTGAGCTAAGGAGTTTGAAGCTGCAGTGAGCTCTGAAATGCCTGTTCTTCAGCCTGGGAGACAGAGTGATGCTCTGTCTCTAAAAGAAACAAAAAAATTCCCCCAAAGTAAGGCACAAAACAAGGCATATGGCATTTATCTTTCATAGAAACAAAAGGAAAAATTCTACAGCTCTATATAAATTTTTTCTTGTATATCCATAAAGAAAGTCAGAGAGAATATGATATATTAGAAGCAGGTCAAGTGAAGACCTGAGGTGAGAGGAAGATCTTTTCTTTCTTTCTTTCTTTTTTTTATTTTATTATTTGGGATTCATTGAAGGTACAAAAAATTAGGTTACACTGATTGCGTTTGTTAGGTAAAGTCCCTCTTATAATTATGTCCTGCCCCTAAGAGGTGTGCTATATACTATGACCCTATCCCCCTCTTTCCTCTCCTCTCCCCATGCCCTCGTGCCCCTACTCCCCCCCATCTCATATTAGCTCATCTACTGCCTTCATATAAGAATCACATACATTGGATTCTTGCTTCTCCATTCTTGTGAGAAAGGAGGTAAGAAAATCTATTCTACCTCCATCCAGATTAATACAAAAGATGTAAAGTTTCTATCCCTTTTAATGGCATATATATGCCACAGCTTGTTAATCCATTCCTGGGATTTTTTTTTTTCTTGAGAGAGAGCACCCTGGGTAGAATGCCATGGTGTCACAGTCACAGAAACCTCAAACTCTTGGGCTTAAGCGATTCTCTTGCCTTAGGCTCCCAAGTAGCTGGGACTACAGGCTTCCACCACAATGCCTGGCTATTTTTTGGTTGTAGTTGTCATTGTTGTTTGGCAGGCCTGGGCTGGATTCGAACCTGCCAGCTCTGGTGTATGTAGCTGGCATGCTAGCTATGGGCACTGAACCTGAATTTTCTTTTTTTATTTTCTTTTTTTATTTTCTTTTTGTTTTTTATATAAATCATAGCTGTGTACATTAATGCAGTCATGGGGTACAGTGTGCTGGTTCTATATACAATCTGAAATATTTTCATCAAACTGGTTAACATAGCCTTCATGTCATTTTATTAGTTATTGTGTTAAGACATTTATATTCTACATTTAGAAAGATTCACATGTACCCTTATAAGATAATTTTCTTTTTTTAAATAAAGGCAGAGTCTTGCTATGTTGTGCAGGCTGGTCTCAAACTTCTGGCCTTAAGCAATCTTCCTGCCTAGCCTCCTGAGTAGCTGAGACTACAGGCCATTTCAAATATTTTAAATTCTGAAACTTATAAATGTATTACTTATTCAAAATAATAACATAGTTGTTAACACAGAAAAAAAATATTCATAATATAGGTGCAGTGGTTGACTCCTATAATCCCAGCACTTTGGGAGGCCAAGGCTGGAGGATTGCTTAAGGCCAGGAGTTCAAGCCCAATCTGGGCAATAGTGACACCCTGCCTCTATAAAAAAATGGAAAAATTAGCCAGGCATAGTAGTGCATGCCTGCAGTCTCAGCTACTCTGGAGGCTTAAAGAAACCTCCAGAGTAAGAATTGAGCTTAGGAATTTGAGGCTGCAGTAAACTGTGACTGTGGTACTGCATCGTGCCTGGCTGATGGAGACCCTGTCACTAAAACAAAAAAAAAAAAAATTAAAGTAATCAGATTGTGGGTGGCATTGCTAGTATACAACGTAGGATGAAGCAAATGGGGCCCACTCACCTTCCTGAGGCCGTTTGGTGTCCACGTGCACACCTCTGGCACTCAGTGCACGCTTTGGTTTTGCTCCCTTCTCTTCCCCTTGCTCTTTGTTCTAAAAACAACCGTAAAAACTGTCATCATTATCACCATCATCATCATTCAGGCCACAGACACCTGTTAAGCACCCTCTGTGAGCTGAAGACAAAGATACTGAGGTTGTTTCACACAGTCTCACAGTGACATTAGAAAAAGACACCGCGGCTCAGCACCTGTGGCTCAAGTGGCTAGGGCACCAGCCACATACACCTAAGGTGG